AGCGGGGACTTTTCGTTCACCCGACTCCTCTTCCTCCTGTCCGGAGGCAAGTACAGGCACGCCTGTCTTTTCCACGGCAAGGAATTTTGCCTGCCTAACGTTGGGAAACTGACCACTTCTCTTGCCATTCCGACCTGTCTGGTCCTCCGAAAGGCTACCTGAATCGCCCCCGTGGGCAGAAGACTTCGTTTTATCCTTCTTTTTGGGCATAACGCCGAAAGAAAATCCGAAAAAATAAGGAGTAGGGAAACAACGTGCACCCCTTGGCGTTCGCACAAGGAAAATGGCGGCGAACATAGTCATTACGTCATGATATCCCGTGATGCTTTGCGATTAAAGCTTTGTACACGTGCGCCACCTAGCGATAAGCATAGGAAATACTGCATAAGGTAAACGATATACCCAAATAGGGAGTGTGCAGGTATAATTAAACTGTATATCTGTTACAGTTTATCTCCGGTGTTAATCCTATTCCTTCTGCTTAGTAGTCACGATGCACTCTAACAAAAACAGGTCAGATTGTAAAGGTGTTTGTATACCTGTTTGAAATACGCGGATAAAGGTTTAGATGGACAACAATAACAAAACACATGATTTGAAAAACAAAGAGAAACTTTTGAAAATCATACTTGTCATAGAATTGCAGTTATCGCTGTATCTAAGTTAGGTTTGAAGTAATCTGGAAATATTCAACAATTTGTCTCTTTGAATATGAAACAGTAAGAGTCCTCTTTTAGAAATTGAAAATCTAGTTCTTCATAGTTTTCAAGCACATGTTGGGAGAGGTGGGGTAGTGTCTTCTTCCTACCGTATTTTTTTAAATAGAAAGAGAACACACTGTAAGATACTCGTGACGAACTGTTTTTTCAAAGCAGTATGATATGCCATATACTGATGTTGATTAATCGTCTAGGTAAGAAATGTGATGATCCTAATCCTCAGTATGCGATAGCTTAACGACGATACCTGTCGTATCTGTTGTGATCGAGCTCTTGGTTGTCGACAACTTAACTTATCTTGAAGCTGATCCCCGAGTTACTTGTGACGGACCCTCATGTGATAACAACACATTCCTACACATTAGAGTTTAGCATAGAAACGTAATGACTTGATCGCCTTATCAAAATGACGAGGAGCTATTTCTGTAATTGTTTCTTATATGTCCTTTCCCCACATACCGTTAGCTACAGATTGCAGCGTTTGTGAAGAACAACAAACAAAGTCACCAACAAAAGTGCGAGCCAACAGATAACGTTGCTACATAAGATTCCCACGTTTTTCTCACTACAACCCTTCTACCTACATTCCCTTTGGAATAGTTTTTCTCCTCCCTCCCTGTTTCCAACCCTTATCCTCTGGGAAATCCCAATTTATCTTCTCCACGTGTGTTCTCCTATCAACGTCAGTCATCGCCAGCTCCAATTGTGACCCTCTCATTACAATTAATTAAGTCCAGCAGGGGCTCGTTCAGATCGATAACATTTGTGTAATTGATTTTGGCTCCGATACGTTACAATCGTCCCCGCCTATCTGATTTCTAAGACACTAGAGATTTCTGGTTAACAACTAAACAAACTCCATTCCTCACTTTTCTCAAACGAACTACATGTACTTAGAACCCGTAACGTCATATAAATACAGTATGACTGTAATGGCAAAAACATACGACTGTGATGTAACGCTTTTATACTCGAATCATTATATATTTGTCATCTTTGGAAAATTTGTCAACATATGACGGTGCGTTCTTATCTTAATTTAGGCAATTACAACGTAATTAATCAAATTTAGCCGGAACTCTCACAGAAGATCGCGATCGGCGGGACATATTTCTCCCAGAAGACGTTCTCTTTGTTTCTCATAAATGAGACCACACCTTACGAATTTACCTGCACAGGGTGTATGTGTGTATAATTACCCAAAGTCGTGATGGCTCCATTTAAATCGACACCGCATGCAACCGGTTACCTAACAATTTGTGACGTCATCTGATGACGTGGGGACAGCTTTGCCTACACGGTTCTCTATCGCATATATGATGCAATAGTCAATACTGTTTCATGTTCTAACTGAAATCTTATGCCTTGATGAGAACAATGAGCTTGAAATTAAATTGAATTAAAGCTCATTGGTGAGGATAACTCTAGACTGACAACGAGTACCAGCTACCTTTATTTTGATAGCCCCCTGCATGTGTTTCAAACATTGCTGGTAATCTCATTGCTTTAAACATCAGTTATACCAGTTCGGCACGGAGGGCACCGTATTCTAGAACGGGCACTGTCGGCAACAACGAAATACAAGAATGAGGTCATGGAACAATTTATCGAACGACATTCTTGAAAGATCAAAACAAAACACTCTTGTGACGTGACGATGCCTGGCAGACTGATTTTTATACCGGTCGCTATGGCGGGACAAATTGAACCCACTCTCTTCTGTAGTATCTGTTTGGAACTCTTCCTCTGTCCATTGGTTTTGCCGTGCCGCCATTCCTTCTGTAAGAAGTGTATTTCGGACTGGGTAGGCATGGCTATACACCAGCAACGAGCGGAATTTTTCACTTGTCCGGAATGTCGGATGCCGTTCAGTTTACCTCCGCGTGGGATCGAGTCTCTTCCCTTCAACCACGTGCTCGCTAACATGGCGGACGCTTGCAGAAAGTCTGGAAACGGCGGGAATTTCGGCGCAAACGGGAACGCCAGGCTGTTTCCGAGAACGGAGAGCCGCGGGATCCAGCCGCCTGGCGGGTGCAGGGAGCACGGCAAGAGTCTGCTGATGTACTGTATGGTCTGTGAGGAGGAGTGCTGTCTGCAGTGTATCAAAGAGCCTGGAGGAAGGCATCCGGCCGGTTCACCGCAACATAACGTCAAGAACAAGTATGTGGCGACGTCTCTGAGAAAGGTGCGTCATCATCATAGCATTGGTACTGGTTTTAATCATATGACAAAACTGTGAGCGAACTGCGTAGTTGCCAGATATTATGTTGGTGAAAAAGGTTTTCATACCAATATTATAAGATATCCCTTTCAAGGAAAATTTTGTATTTTTTCTAGGTTAGTTTGATGGACATCTCGATCGGCTGTAGGAAAACCCAGATGAAGATCACAGATGTGGAGATGGCGCTGTCCGTGAGTACTGTCTATCATCTTCCGTTACCATGGCAACGTCCAATGAAGATGGAAACGCAACGACTGTTTTAATAGACTGTTCGTTGAACTTTTTTTTCCGGGCAGATGTTTACTAACATTTCTTATTTTGTTTACAGAACAATGCTAGAAAAGCTATAAGCGAAATAAAATCGCAGATGGAAGCCATTAAACAAGCATTGGACTTGAAGACAGTACAAATGGTGGCGTCGGTCAAGGCTGAGAGAGCAGAAAAACAAGAACGGCTGGACGCCATCAAGAGAGGTCTGAACGCCATCCGAGAAGACTCAAGATTTCTGTTGGCGGAGGGGGGAAACTCGGAGAAATTCCTACAGGTAGAGAAATCTATCGTTTCTGTTGCAAAAACACAAGTATAGGCAGCTATAGACGACCCGCTACACAGTTGACACGACCGAACTATCTAGTATTCAGTTTATACACTACTGGATTGCTGTCGTCTCCTCTTAGCCAAAGTGCAAGACTCTTCATGAAACTGATGCATTTGTTTTTATCCTCGACAGGAGGCACATGCTGTCCAAGTGAGGTAAGCATCAGACGAAACGGTACGGTAGGATAAGGTAAGTCTTGATTAGGTAGATCTTTCGGAAGCTTACCAGTTGTCACGGACTGTATGTATATAAACTATTTGAGAGGTTTTACCATCTTTGATGGGAAGGCTAGCATTTTCTACAGTTCATCATGAAGATATGCATGCACGCGTTTACAACGGAGAAGGCTGTAAAGGTTGTACTCGTAGTATGTTCCCATTTCCTTAGCGCGGGCCAGGAGTGAGACAAAACAGAAATGACGGCGTACACATTACAGACACGAAACAACTATGTTGTTTTTCTTTCACGTACATTTTAGGGCGGCAGAAATTTGCGCAAGTCAAGACTGGAACGACTACAGTTTGGATCATGTGCAGCAGATTCCCTCAGAGCGACAACTCCAGGCGGTCAAGCGCGCCGTTGACAACATTTTCTGCCAGGAAACCACAAACAGGATCCAAGTTCACGGCGATGGGTGGCCAGGCTTCGAACAAGCGAGGTCTGAGTTCACACCGGGTAGTGCCCATGACCCTCTGGGAGCAAGGCAGCGGACAGCACAAGGCGTCGATGACGGAAGGGACTACAAAACACCAGAAAACAAGGCTTGCGGGGTAAAAGAATGCCCTGACGTTTATTATATAATACCAACTAAATATGTAAATGTTGCCATACGTTGTACCCGCTACAATTGCCATGCAATAAAGTTCTTCTTCTCACACGGAAACGTAAAAGATTCTAAAATGTGATCGAGACGTTTCCATAGATTTTTTTTGTTTCCTGCTTAACCTAACAGGGAACATATCATCAGATACTGACAAAACAACCAGAATCGACAGTTTCTTGTATGGAGAACCCACATTTGACATCAGGTCTGCAGCTTTTCCCGAGTCTATCTGTTTCTGACGGGCCATGCCTTCCGACGATTGGCGAGGAGATCACGATCGCCAGCGACGGTACGCCGAAAATGCCCGAGTCGATGCCGAAGGAGCTAACCAATCTACACGCAAATCGCACAGGAGGACACAAAGAAACACAAGCACAGACTTTGTCGAGTCTCACAAGGGAAGATCAGAATGAAGAGCGGGTAATGTTTCAGCAAAGCGCTAAACTGTATCTCTGGGAGCCGGACCGAGAGGACTGGATACAGCGCGGAGCTGGCGATCTGAAAGTATGTATGATACACTGTTTTAGGGGTACGTACTCTATGAATTATTAGTTTTGCGACTTTTCAAATCCACTATTTTGTCACACATACGTCTTCGTTGCTTAATTGCAGATTCTTCGGCATAACGTGACGGGTAAGGCGCGGGTCCTGATGTGGAACGACGGGACGTACAGCGTCCAGGCGAACCACTACATCACGGCGGACATGAAGCTGCTGGACGACAAGATCGGCGGGGACGACGCGCTGGTCTGGGCAGGCATCGACGCCGCCGACGGATCACGGAAGGTGTCCCTGTCATCTGTAGATATAGATCTGTTTTAGACGTATTAAAATCATTACCTCTGGGGTTTCTGTTTGTGTGTTCGCAGCTGTAACTCACGGTGGGTTGAACGGGTTTCTTTGGTTCTCGGCATATGATTAAGTTTTGGGGTCCAGATGTTCCGGATCGATCTTTTTTTTTCACGTATCTGTTGAGGGTGGGGTTATACATCCTCTCATATATTGCCTCTCTAACTCCCCGTTCCCACCAGCGGGTTTCGCGGTCTAAGATATCCGTGGATTCGAGCATGAAAGAGTGTCCTTGGTTGTGTTCTGGGTGAAAAAATGGTATGTATATGTTTTAGTGGCCGACTGGTCTCTCATCTTATGAAGCCCATGCATATGAAGCAAATACATGTATATTTGTGGGCGTGTCATGGAGAGCTCTCTGTTGTTCTTGCCATGTTCTCCAGGAGGCGTACTTTGCGGCGACATTTTCTCAGCCCACTGCTGCTACTGTTTACAAGAAGGTGTTCGAGAGATGCGTGGCAAGAGAGACGGTGAAGGAACGGACGGCCTCGGCTGGCACTCCGCCATGATAAACTGTTAAACAACCTCCTGAATAGTCAGTGGACTTAAATATGGGAACGGGATTTGAAGATGCATTAATCTCTTACATATAGTGTCTTAATGACGATATCTGCATTTTTATTCAAAAGAAGTTAGCCGACACCAGACCGTTGTATTTGACCCAAAGTCGAATATTGAAAAGTGAGAAATAAACATACATCGGTATGCATTACTAAAACGGTCGGTGCTGTCAGTTCTTGCTTACTCAAAGTCGAACTGCAGACCGGTTCCTGACAACTTCTTCTTGTGCTTGGTGTCATAAGCCTCGCTCTGAGCCACCGTGAAAGTGTTCTGCCAGTCGCCGACCACACCTACAGTCACAAAACTAACAGCGTGATAGTTTTACATGCGGGGGAGAAAATTTCCGCAATGTGAGAAGAATGGTTCATATCTACATACTTCAGGAGGAGGAAGTGGGAATCTGCCACCAGCCGAGTGCGTGGTCGTAGCTACTGTTTACAACGTATTTGAATTGTTGGCGGGCTTGTGCAAAGGTTGACTTTTCACTTGTGGCAGGCTGCCAGATCATGTGACACTTCTGCTGAGAACAGTATGTTGTTTTGACTGATTGTAGAGGGAAGTGTCTACTTCTCTCTAACGCTCGAGTTCATGAATACACTTGTACGGCTTCCTATTTTCTGGGTGTATGTAGTTTAGTGAGTGACACAAGAATATTCAGTGGTGACAGGAACTTTGCAGAAGAATTCGGCGCTCCAGTTTCATAGCGGCCTGTCAGGGACGTCAACACTTCCTCGTACGTGACTTGACTTTATACCTTCAAACGGTACGTGGTTCAGACTTCATATGTATAACCATAGCCAGAGAATTAATCCCCTGTGTCGGTAGTAGAATGGCTGTACTTCAGTTTTATGCCCAGAGACATGTTAATTGTGCCACGAATTCTAGAAATGTTACTGTTGTTGGCCACATTACACGGGTATAAGCACAAATCTTTTACCGTGTGTGGGCGGCACGGCAAGTGGTGGGTGATTCATCGAGTGACGAACAAATACTTGAGCCTTCCTCTTCAACTTGTTAGAGGTTTCACATACTAAGTACATTTTTATAATGTTTTCTAAGATGCTCACATGTAGATACGTTGTATATAAGATAATAAAATAATATAAGATAAGATAACTATGAACTGAAAATGTGCGTGTGTGTTTGTCTGTGTGAGAGTGTTTGTGTTTGTGCGTGTGTGTGTGTGTGTGTGTGGCGCGCGCGCGTGTGCGTTTGTGCGTGTGTAGGGAATGACATAAGGTGTTTAGATGTTGCATTAGGTAAGCCGTTTCGGACGTTCGAACGGCGACGTTAGCGTCCGTTCGACGTCCGAACGGCTACGTTAGGATCCGTACGTATACGTTAAGATCGACGACGTTCGATCACGTTCTTAGAATAAACGAGAGGTTTTTGAGTTGAAGTCTTTGTGTACGGACGTCTTTTTTGTGTGCTCTGTGTCCTCTTCTTTTCTTGTCTTGCTCTTACTTTACACCGTGTACTCGGAGGCGGAAATCCCACGACGATCAACAACGAACCCCTTACATTTGGCGACGAGGATGGGATTTGGGATTTATCGCCGAGAACCTGAGAACACCAAACATCGTGAGGACAGCGGAGGACCGAAGGTTAGAGAAACACATTCATGCATTGCCTGCCTGACCGCTTAGTGAAATTTGCTTTAGGATTTTAGTGGGAATTGAAGTGAGTCCGTGTAGAGCCAGGGTCGAAGTTAGTGAATAGAAGTTGTTAGGTTTTATCTTTAACAATGGCAGAAGGACAGGAGGGGGCACACGCCACCACGGTTATGTACGTACCATTCGAAAGAAAGTGGACAAAGTTTTCTGGGTCTCCTACGGGCCCCGTCGTAGAGGAATGGCTGGACGAAATGGAAAGTGCTTTCTTGCTATATAACACACCAGAGGCGCAGCAAGCAGGGTTACTGTATAGGAATCTCGAGGGGCAGGCCAAGCGCCAGATAGCTGTGTTGTCGACTGACGACCAAAAAGATAAGACGAAAGTGAGCGATGTTCTGAAAGCAACATTTGGGGACACTGCCCCGGTGTCAGCAATCATGGGTATGTTCTATGCTAGGGAACAAGAGAGAGGAGAATCCATAACTGTATACGCGCTAAGCTTACAGGAACTCCTAAAAAGAGCAGCCAGGAGGCGGGGAAATTCGTTAGCGGAAGAAGATACCATGCTAAGGGATAGATTCTTAGATGGTCTGAGGGATAAGGACCTGGAGAGGCAGTTACGCCAATACATTAGATCAGCTAGCGCGGCAAACCCCAGGAAGTTCCCAGATGTCAGACTTGAAGCCCTTCACCTGAGTGGGGAATGGGGCCGGGAAAAGGGTGAAGCCCGACAAAATGCGACAATGGTAGAGTCGGCTTTGCTTGCTGAGATGGCTAGGTTGAGGGAGGAAACGGGTAAGACGATGGAGTCCCTACGTAAGGAGCTTCACAGCCTAAAGTTTGAAAATCAAAACAGCCGTAGACAGGGTTCACCCAGGGTCCAACCTAACGGTGTCCGACAAGGACAGGCTGGATGGGACAATCAGGGACGCCCGATCTGCTATTCGTGTCAGGAACCAGGACACATACAGCGAGAGTGCCCCAATGTAAGGAGGTGCTACGTTTGCGGGGACCCGGGGCATATCCAGAGGGACTGCCCTTGGGGCAGCCAGGGGTCTAGATACAACAACGCCCGTACTAAGCCTCAGAACAACACCCGCAGGCCCCAGAATCAGACTAACACTCATTCCCCAAACTAGTTAGGCCCGCGGCCGAGGGACCAGGTGCGCGGGTGAAGTCAGTAGCTAGTTGTGCGTCCCAAGGTATGAGTGTAAATAGTGATACATGTATTAGTGATGACTTAAAGTCCGTTCTGTCTCGGACGATCGGGAAATGTAATGTAGTAGACGTGGATTTTGAAGGAGTAAACGTCCCGTGCCTGATTGATACGGGATCGCAGGTTACTACCATGACATTTAGTTTTTTCAAATCACATTTCGGGGAAAGAGGGGAGAGACTTAAGGACGTTTCAAGTTGGTTGAAGTTAACAGGGGCCAACGGACTACCCATTAAGTTTGTCGGGTATTGCGAGCTTGATGTGACGTTTAGGGGTCGCACGCTTCCAAAGCGTGGGGTAATTATTGTTGAAGATGGATGTGGGTCTGCGCCGGGATTCTGGGTATGAATGTGAT